TTCAATTTTTCTTAAGTCACTGGTCTATAGACTCATTATAGTTTGTAAAATTGGGTTATTGTCTTGAGGTCTCAGAAAATAGGTGCTGCAGTAATTTTGTAAGCATATGCACAACGGCAACAGATTAACTAGTATAGTAAAGTTCATATTTACGGTGGCTCAGCCGGTAATCCCGTGCCTTGGGAGGCTGAGATGAGTGGATTGCCTGAGCCCGTGGGTTTGAGACCCGCCTGGGCAACTTGGCGAGATCTCATCTCTACAATCAATCAAAAATCAGCCGGGTGTGATAGCGCGCGCCTGTAATTCTAGCTACTCGGAAGGCTGAGGCGGAAGGATCGCCGGAGCCCAGCAGATCGAGGCTGCGGTGGCCGGGAGCGGCCACTGCACTCCAGTCTGGGTGACAGAGTGAGACACCAACTCAAAAAAAAAAAAAAGTTCGTATTTAGGTGCATGTGGGTTAGAGTGTATAACAAGTATGTTGTATACTGGGCTAAAATCTAGTAAATTTTTCATCTTATTTTTCTCCTTATGCTGAAAGTATTCTAAATGCTATACTCTGTGGTCTGAACAAAAATCGATCCAAAATGTGGTCTTTTATTTTTGTGACTTTTTTATTTAACTGACACTATGAACATACTTCTTGCTGACCCAATCTTTGTTCTTTGGGACTAGGGAAAAATTGAATCTTGTTCATACACTTGAACTTAAAAAAGGTCATGATGATATCTATTGTTCTATGATCTGTTTTAAATCCATGTCAAAACACCAAGTTAAACTAGATATAAAAATTTAAAAGATGACTGATACCTTGTGGTGAGTTAATATCATTGTGATCTGAAGAGAGTGGGCTGTTTAAATGTAGTTGAATTAGCCATTTGACCTTCAATTACAGTATGCTGCAATGTATTATTTAACTAAAATACAATGCATAATGCATTGATAGTAGAGTGAGGGTTCAGCTCAGATAGTTTTACTGTCACCCAAAAATGGTTTATATATTATGATGTAGAGCAACAGAAGTCATTGCAAGAAAGCTTTTTTTTTTTGAGTTGGAGTCTCACTCTGTCACCCAGGCTAGAATGCAGTGGCACACTCATGGTCACCCCAGCGTTGACCTTCTGGACTCTGTCAATCCTTCTGTCTCAGCCTTCCAAGTAGCCGGAACTACAGGCACACTACCACACTTGGATAATTTTTTGATTTATTGTAGAGATGAGATCTCACCAAGATGCCCAGGCTGGTCTCAAACCTGTGGGTTCGGGTAATCCTCTCACCTCTGCCTTCCAAAGTGACAAGAAAGGTTTATTTTTAAGGGAATGGTTGCTCTGTTATTCACTCAGGAGCATTCGCTCTGTATTAATGATGCATATAGTCTTTGCAGAGCTTTGTTACATTTTAGGAATACAGAACAAAATTACTTCTTCCTTTTTAAAATAATATGGTAGAATATTCAGTTATATCTTTCCTAGTATCCTACATCTAAAACTCTTGGAAGAGTATTGAGTAACTTTTTAGTGCATGATTGAGCTAGGTGGGGGTCACCAGAATTTCTCTGAGAAATCTCAGATCTATAAGCCTAGGTGGGCATATGCATTTGGAGAGTGGGCAATCAATTTCAGCCAGTCTGGAGCTGAAATATTTCTTCAGTGTTTTCTTCTAGTAGTTTTACAGTGTCAGGTCTTAAATTTAAGTCTTTAGTCCGTAGTCTATTTTGATTTGATTTTTGTATATGATCTAGTTTCAGTCTTCTGCATATGAATATCCATATTTCACAGCACCATTTATTGAAGAGCATGTCTTTCATCAATGTATGTTCTTGGCACCTTGGTCGAAAATGAGTTGGCTGTCTATGTGGAGATTTACTTCAGCGTTCTTTATCTTGTCTTATTGGTCTATGTGTGTCTTTTTTTCTGTTAGTCCATGTTATTTTGGTTTCTACAACTTTGTAGTATATTTTAAAGTCTGGTAGTGTGATGTTTCCAGCTATGTTCTTTTGCTCAAGATTGCTTTGGCTATTTGGAATCTTTTGTGGTTCCACAAAAATTTGAGGATATTTTTTTCTATTTCTGTGAAAAATGCCATTGCTATTTTGATAGGGATTATAGGTTGCTTTGGGATTGTATTTGTAGGTCGCTTTGGGCCGTATGGACATTTTAACAATATTAATTCCTGCAATTCATGAGTATGGGATACTCATTTGTGTCCTCTACAGTCTTTTTCATCAGTATTATATAGTTTTCATTGTGTAGTAATACTTTTGATTCTGCAGTTTTTATGAGACTTGGTTACATTACTTTCATGTGCTGTTAACAACCAGACAATATATTCTGTACTTTTTGACCCAGTATTTCTACTTCCAGGAATTTGTCCCAAGGTGTAAAATGATATGTATACTCAAGATTGTTTCTCATATCCTTGTTAATACTAGTAAACAACTGGGAAATTTTCCAGAAATAGAGGACTTGTTAAAAAGTTTAAGGTGTGCGTGCATACAGAGAGAAACACCACACACATTATTTGTATATATACCATTTATTTATTTATTTATTTATTTATTTATTTGAGTTGGAATCTCATTCTGTCACCCAGGCTGGGGTGCTCAGATCTATAAGCCTAGGTGGGCATACGCATTTGGAGAGTGGGCAACCAATTTCAGCCAGTCTGGAGCTGAAATATTTCTTCAGTGTTTTCTTCTAGTAGTTTTTTAGTGTCAGGTCTTAAATTTAAGTCTTTAGTCCGTAGTCCATTTTGATTTGATTTTTGTATATGATGAGAGGTGGGCATCTAGTTTCAGTCTTCTGCATATGAATATCCATATTTCACAGCACGATGTGGCATGCTCATGGCCACCCCAGCATTGATCCGCTGGGCTCAGATGAACTTCTGCCTCAGCCTTCCAAGTAGCTGGAACTACTAGCGCACACTACCATGCCCGGCTAATTTTTGATTTTTTTTTTTTTTATTGTAGAGATGAGGTCTTGCCAAGTTGCCCAGGCTGTTCTCAAACCCATGGGCTCAGGCAGTCTCCTCACCTCAGCCTCCCAAAGTGCTGAGATTACAGGCTTGAGCCACTACGCCCAGCCTATATATATCACTTAAATAATTATGCAGGACGTTAGTAACCATTAAAATAATATATAGATTAATATTTATATACAAAGATACATGACATCACTAAGTGAAAAAAGCATTATATCTCTTCTATGTAAACGTGCATGTACATCTATCAGTTATAAGCAGTAACTTATTTATAATTGTACATATGGTAGTTAAATCTAATGACAGGGGTTGTCTGAGGCAGCTCTGCTGTAAAATAAAAAGCACTAAAGTGGAATTTGGGGGCCTGAGTTTTAGTCACCATTTTGCTAACTGTGCTGCTTTTGATAGATCTTTTCACATCTCTGATCCTCTTAGATACTGTCATCTCTAAAAATGAAGGAAGAGATTGGCATTGAACTTTATTAGCAATGACAAGTACACCATAATGATAGTCACCTCCCTCTTTTGCAATCATGGCAGACATTAGTTGTCATTCTTAGTGCTCATTCTTTGGGCTCAGTCGTGCCTTAGAATTCCTCTTAGTACACTGTTTTAGTCCACCATTTTAAAGCAAATGATACCTTATACTTGAGATTTCTTTACCATCCTTGAATAAGATGATCTTGCAAGTTCTTTCAACTGGAAGATATTTCTGATCAAAGAGCAAAATGACTGTAACAAGAAACAACAGAGAAAATATTTCAGAAAATAATTTTAGAATTCTCTATTATCCACATTAAAAAGAAAAAAAACAATAAAAATGTGGATACAGATCAGGTACAGTAACTCATGCCTTTAATCCCAGCGATATGGGAGGCCAAGAAAGGCGGAGCACTTGAGGCCAAGACTTTGGGACCAACCAGGGGACCATAGTGAGACTTGCGGTCACAGTGAACTATGATTGTACTAATACACTCTAACTTGGGCGACAAGAATGAGACCCTGTCTATCTGTTAAAAAAGAAAAGAAAAGAAAACAACAAACGGGGAAAAATGTTGCTTACATGTTTTCTTAAATAAAATATTTTAGCATTAAGTGATATAAAACAATTATAAATGTACCTTCTCATTTTTTCATATGAAATTTTTGAAATCCAGTGTGTATTCGCAGTACATTCCATTTTAGATAATACATTTTTATTGGAAATACTTGATCTGTGTTTAAACTTACAGTTTAAAAAGCAGATCCTCATAGTCATTTTAATTTCTAATAATTGAATTGAGCATTTACTTTTAAATTAAATTAAAATCAAATTAAATTAAAAACTGAGATGAGGTTGCACTAGTCAATAGCCAAATATCACTGGTGACTACCATATCAGTCATTGAAAGTCTGGAAGATTAAAAAAAAAAAATTATAGTTTGGTGTCAGCCTTCAGGAAGATTTTCTTGTTGGGAAAGCAAGATATGAAAAATAAGCATATTAAGAATATAATCCAAGACTGGGCTCGGTGGCTCATTCCTGTAATCCTAGGAGGGGATTTGAGAGACAGATAGGAGAATCGCTCGAGCCCAGGAGTTTGGTACCAGCCTGGGCAACACAGTGAGACCTCATCTCTGCAAAAAATCAAAAAACTAGCTGAGCGTAGTGGTGCATACCTGTAATCCCAGATACTTGGGATGCTGAGGTGGATGGATCACCTAAGCCCTGGAGGTCGAGGCTGCTGTGAGCTATGATTTTGCCACTGCACTCCAGCCTGGGTGACTGAGTGAGACCTTGACTCAAAAAAAAAAAAAAAAGAAAAGAAAAGAAAAAGAGGGATAGAATCCAAAACAGAACAATATTATCAAGGGCTAGAAGTTTGCCATGGATGGACGAAGTGCTACTTGAAAAGGAAGTTCCAGAAACACCACAGCTGGGTACATTCTTCACCACTTTGGAGCCCGAGTGGTGGCAATGACGCGTTGAGTTTGTGAGAATGAAGTGTCTTACTTTAGAAATTGCGTGTGTTCTGCCTGCAGACATGGGACCCGCTGTGCTGGGGAAGTGGCAGCCGCTGCAAACAACTCACACTGCACGGTTGGAATTGCTTTCAACGCCAAGATCGGAGGTATGAGAAACAGTCTTACGTGGATATAGATAGCTCTTACGTGGATCTAGAAACGAGCCGGTTAGCTGCTTGGCTTTCAGAATCTTTTTAAAATTAAAGATAAGCGTAATAGTGTTCTGTTGCTGACTCCAAAATGACTGTGTTAACCTGGGTTGCTAAATATATAGTTAAAGACTTCTGAAGCAGTGCCCTTAAAATGTTGCAAACACTTTTTTTAAAAAACAGCCTTGAAAAAAAATGTTATCTAGCAGTAAAGATGGGGTCATTGACATCTGTACCAAAACTCTGTGCTTGCTGTCTGCTTCAGAAAGAGCTAATAATATAAATATCAGATAATACTATCTCTGTGGAAAGAAGCATTTTGAAATTGTCTCAAAGTAGAAAATATTTTTTTGTCGTTGTTTTCCTCAGGCTTTAACAAAACTCCTTTTAATTGTAATTGAAATGGTAAAGTCTCCTTTTGAAATTCCATAATACAGTGATACTGTTTCCACAAATAATTTAGATGATATCTACAGATACACACACATATATGCAAACTCAATTACATATAGGCTTACTATAAGGTCCCAGCCAAGGCAGTATAAATTCAAGCAGTGACAAAAGCAAACTTAACTTTCCCATTTATAATCTTTTTTGTAAGCAATAGCCTAGTCCACAGCCACACACAAGTTGGAAATAAATATTGTAACAGATTTTATAGATTCTAGGGATTTTATCATTATGCCTGGCCTGAAGGTGTTCCCTAGGGGTCTCCTAAGGGTATCTTAAGATGAATGAAGCTTCTGGAATAGGGATGGCTTCCTGGTTTTCAGTGCACTATTTGTTTTCATATGGGAAACAGATTTGGAACTAAAAAATAAAAATGATCATCCTTTCTAGGATAAGGGTATAAATATAGAGGCCCTGTAACATGAAATATTTAAGGTATATAATAGTGGAGCTAAGAAAAGTTTTTTTGAAACTACCTTGAATGTCAGTCCACTGTAAATTTGGCCTCTTTTTTTCCTTCGTTTCACCTTGGATTCTTAGATTATGATTTTAGTAGTAACTAACTGTACTCAAGGAGCATCCACTATGTATTAAGGGAAATGCATATGGAGGAGTTAAAGAAAGGAGACAAAGAAGAAAAGTTGTTCATTCCCTGAAGGATGATGAGATTTCTGGGGCCTCCTGCTCTTCCCAAGAGACTCTGATGAGAGGCTGCCTAGTTACCCCTTTCCATGATCCAGGACAGTCTCTCACATTCACAGACACACACCACACGTCCTCATCATTACTCTCCAACACAGCCCGGCACTCCTATGACCTTGAAGGAATGAGGGGATGAACTTATGAACTCACCAATAAACCACTGACCTAGCTCAGCAGCACCTTAGTAAAAAAAATAAAATGAATGCACTACACAAGAACATTCTGAATTATAATTTAACACCCAGAGCAAAGTCATGAAGCCTTGGCATTACATGAGGAAAAAGAAGCAGCCTTTCATCTTTAACCTTGACAAAAAGCGATTCTTTTTAGTGAATTTTAGATCAGAATATGAATATTATCCTTAAAATGTGATTGAACAAGCATTGTGTGTGTGTGTGTGTATTTCCAATAAGTTGCTTGACATAGTAACTGATTTCAGGTGTTACATTGTACTCTCATGTTGACATTTAGACATGCTAGTGAGATTGTTTGGGGCAGCTATAGAGTTTATTTCAGATTTCATTGTACCAATAAAATAGCTTCATTTTATGCTTTTGAATAGAAAGTAAGAAGTAGTTCATATTTCTTTATGGAAAAACATGCAGATAAATTTCGAATATTCAAATTAAAATAAACCAGTGACTACTCAGGACCCAGCACGTGGAAAGCATTACACAGGGTTTTCACCCTCACAACACAAGCCACTGACAAGCTTTCTAAGTACGGTTTCCATTCCATAATTTCTAATCGGTCTTTTTATAGCCTTCATTCCCTACGTCCCCTGTTAAGATACATCACCATGAAAAATTCAGAAGTCTTGAGGAAAGACAGTAAGAGAAATTAATAACCAAAATGCAGCGTCTTTAAAGATACTTGGAGGAAGTTGAATATTGGCTGGATGTTAGTGACAAGAGGGACTTATTTCCATATTTTTTATTTAAAAAATTGTAGGATGAAGTGTCACATCTGTCATGGAATTTAAAATGATTCAACTAAATATTTATATTTTTAGATTTTGAAAATGAGGCAAAGTATTGACAGGTGTTGAGTACTGGCTATACGTGTTTATTGTTTATTCTTTCTCTTTTTCATTGTTTGCAAATTTTATAGTTGAAGGTTAAACATTTTTTTCCAATGCACAAAAGAGGTACAGTTTCTTCAAGAATATTTTTCTTTTCTACCAGTATTCCAACCTCAATTCATATAGTACCAAAGCTACCTGACCTATGGCTTTATTATTTAATCCCTATGTATTGATAACCAATAACCTACTGGATAACAAGATTTTCCTACAGTGTAAATTTGGCCTGTAAAGATATAATTTTAAAATAATACAGGGTCTCAGGGATGGTATTTATTTTAAGCTGAAGGAGAGATGTTTTCTTCACAATTCGGTGTTCTGTTGTGGTTGTTTTTGGAGTCTCCAGAATGAAAGGAAAAAAAGAAGCTTACCATCTGGCATAAAGTTTATTTCTGAGTATCTCAGTGTCTAAATTTGCATAAAAGGGTTAATAATATCTTGTTACCTGTCTGATAGGAATATACTTACATGAAGATTAATGTTTAAACTTTGCTAAAACCCTTTGAGAATTATTTGAAGCTCCACATGCATGGAGAGCATTCTTATTTATTGTTTGACTTATAAATAATTTGACAAAAAAAAGAAACATTAAGTTCCCACCAGTCTTACAGATTAGGGGGTAATATTAAATATGGAGTAGATGAGACCATCCTACCTTGGCAGCTTTCTAAGTTTTGTAAGACTGCTAAGGTTAGAATGTTTTATACTAATTATGAATGCAAGTTATTCAATGAAGAGACATTTAAGGAAGATGGATTGCACTCAAGAGAAGGAGGAGGAGAAGAGAAAGATAGTGGCAGTTGTTATAGAGGCTGGAGCCTTGAAAAAAGAAAATACTGGATAAAAAACAGATTTTAAAGAAGTTTTACATGCAACGTGACTTGCTTTCTCCCCAAGATAGTGCCTGCAAAGTGCATTTTCCTTTTACTTTTCACTTAAGTGTTGCTACACATGTATCCTTTTCCCTCAAGTTCTATGACTGGATTTATTTGGGTGTCTTGTAGTGAAGCTCCAGTAGTAAGCTTGTTCTCCTTTCTGTTTTGAAGGAGTGCGAATGCTGGATGGAGATGTCACAGACATGGTTGAAGCAAAGTCAGTTAGCTTCAATCCCCAGCACGTACACATTTACAGTGCCAGCTGGGGCCCAGATGATGACGGCAAGACTGTGGACGGACCAGCCCCCCTCACCCGGCAAGCCTTTGAAAACGGCGTTAGAATGGTAGGTTTTAAAAGCTCATGGGCTAATACTGTGTGGTGGATAGGTGATGATGCTCACGTTGGAGAATCTGTGGGTTTCCAGTCCTCACGTCTAGAATTCTGGATGGAGCACTTCAGCTGTGCCACCAGATAGGCAAATGAAAAGAAATGTTGAACATTTGGGACTGTGAGTTCTTTTTGTTCTGCCAATGAACTAAGAGCTAGAGAGTTTCCTCTGAAGAGAGCAAAGGTATATTTGAGAATTTAAGATTTATTTGAAGGAAATATGTTAATATGCTAATCTTGCATTCAAAGAAGTAAATTCTGGGGACTCTGAGATTGAGTGGAGATATTGACACTCTCCATGTAGTGTTGATAGATCATCCAGTGACGTCCAGAAGGCATCTCCCTTTTATGATCCCTTGTCTAGTCACCTCTGTCCCAGTACAATATTATTTTTATACTGGCTCCCAATCTCTCTAATCAGGTGACTTAACGCATCATTATTTTCATTTATTCCACTAAAAAAATCCACCGACCACTCTCCCTCATAAAACTGGCCACATAATTTAATGTAATAAAGCATCCATTTCATATTACAGATTTTAACAGATCCTGTCTTATTTAAATTAAATAAAAACCAGGGAGGCTAACTTTTGTAATCATGGAAGGAGGAGAGCACCAATAGAAGCAATATTTTCCTCTTTCTTACTTGTGAATAGACTTTTGGGTGATTTACAGCATACGTTCATGTTCATTTAAAGGCATCATTGATCTGACCCTAATCTCTCTTTCTTTCCTCATCTCCTTTTACTCCTTGTGATATAAGTGTGCTCCACTCTTACTATTCATCAACACACACTGCTTTCCCTACAATTCCTTGGTCTTCCTATGTGGCACTGTGACCCACACCCAAGCCCTACCACTATTGGCCAAATGCTGTTTGATCTTCAAGCCTCAGCTAAAAGATTCCCTTTTCCCAGAAGCCTTCTTGCTGCCCAAACTATAATTAACTGTTAGAAGCCCCTATCTATGCTTTGTATTTTTACTGGTGCTACACAGTGAGTCCTTACTGTATTGTGCTTTGTATCAGAGTTAGCTCTGGGTGTGTCTTCCTCACTAAACTGTAAGTTCCTAGAGAGCAGAACTTGTGCTCTACACATCATTATGGGTTTTACAAAATTTAGACAATGCATTGAATTCTAGTGTGTACTCAATAAAAGTTTGTTGAATTGAAATGAATTTACATGTTCAGCCCAGATTTGAAACACTGGAATGCAGTCATTCAGTTGACTAATGTAATGTTGCAGCTAGAGTAAAAATATTAATGATTTTACCACATCTTTCTGGGATTGGTGTTAGGGTTTTAACAGAAGACTGAGCTAAGTCGTCTCCTTGTTATTCTGAAATAATGGAAGGAAAAATTACATTTTTTGTTTTGTAGGCACTTTCTAACTAAATGATAGTTCAGATTTGGCTAAGGCATTCACTTTTCTAGTTCTGTCAATTTTCAGCTACATTAGAGCTCTTTTAAACCAAAGAATAACTTTTTAACTGATTGCCTAGAAGTTTCCTTTCAAGGTGCCTTAATAGCAAAATGAATATACTCTGTGTAATCTGGTGGTTATTATGAAAGCCATGGACTGCAAATTACTATTATCTCAATCTATGCCTTCAATAGAATGGTCGTTCAAGTAAGTAAACCAAGTTTAGTTCACATTTTGTCTTCAAAGTGTATGAGTATGGCTCTTATGATAAAGAGCAATCTGGAATTTCTCATTAATATGGAAATACTTAAATTAGTAATGCACATAGCCTCATGAATGTACATTTATATATAAAGAATGCCCCATACTCAGCAGCTGGTTTTTACTGACAAAATAGTAAATTTGTCAAATGACATTAATCAACGATTTCCAACTTTATTTTTGCTCAGGAATTTTTTGTTCAATGAAAATCTTCACCAGAAGCTTAGTATGTGAAACAAATAATGTCGTGCCTCGGTTGAAAGAAGAGTGAAAAGGGGTTAAGATTAGAAACAAAATCATCTGAGAACATTATTCAAACACATAGAAAAGATTCAAACACATAGAAAAGTTATATCTTGAAATAGATAATTTGGAAAAAAATTACTCTATACTCATTATTAAGTACAAAAGTAGCCTATGTAACAGATCATCCACAAAAATGTATATAGATGAAGTTAATAATAGATTTTTCCCACCCAACTAGGTAACCACTGTGAAGAATGTAAGCTATTATTTTTCCATACTCGTGTGCCTATTGACATGCCAAAGAGGGATCATATATACACCCATGCCCATTGCTGACTCCACACAATAGTCTACCTGAGTATCCTTCCAGGGCAACCCATGAGGATAGAACTCATTAGTTTTATTTGTTTAAACATTTTTGGTGTGTAGAGACACCATAATTAATTCAATGCTTCACTGAAGATCTTTCAAGGTCTTAGTGGGGGAAAAAAAGGAGTTCATCTTTAAAACAAATTGTTTACTTTTAGAGTTGATATAATAACAAAAGAAATAACTCTTTAAAAGAACAAATTATTTTCTGGTAATTTGATCTACATGAGGTCAGAGAGAAGGAAATGACAGATATTGGACTCAACCTAGCCTGTATCAATCTTATCACATTTCAGTGGTTCACCACTGTTTTTCCATATTCAGTTGCGCAATGCTAGAAACCGGAAAATAATGCATATAAACAACTAACATAATACCTAAAATGTAATGAATGCATTTTATTTATTTGGAGAAAAGATCATGTTCTTCCAAAAAACTGTTTATATTTGCCCTCAGTCTCTCATCTTTCTCTCCTATATTACTTCCATACTACAGAGCTCCAGAAGATTCCATTGAGTTACGTGGAGTAAGTTAAAATAACATGGTGCAAGTCAACATCGACTATCTGAGCTCTGTTGTGTCATTTGTTATGTTCTTCCTATGTCTGTACGTGTTTTCGATTTCACTTGCCTTTAAAAGCACATCTTCAATTTCAGGGAGATAGCCTCTGGATATATAAATTCATTCTAGTGATCCATGTTTGTGGCTGTGAATTTCATTTGTACTTTCGCAAAAGATATTTCTCTAAGTACCTATGAATATATAGTTTAATATTTTCAACAATATATTAGATAGTTTTTTGCAGGAAAAAGGAATCTTTTTAAAATCACCTTCTCTGTTATCAGACATCAAGTGAAATCGTAAATTTTAAAAATGTCGAGATTATTCTCATTTGTATTTAAATAATATACATTGTCAAATATGTAGATGATAATTTGATAAAGCCCTTATACAAAGTTAGATCATAGAGTGAAATAAAGAAATAAACAAGTAGTTTGTTGGCTGAGTGAATTAAGGAATGAAGGAATAAGTGACTTACAAGATAATTCCTTTGGTGATCTAACTGAAAACCTGTGTAACCGCCTGAAGTCATTCTGGCCTGTTGGGGTTTTAGCCATGTCATATAGGAAAATGCAGAGATTGGTTTGTCCTATTAAATTTAGCAAATTCCATTTTCTACACTCTGTAGTTGAAGAGGTGAAAAGACATCTAAGTTTTATATGTGATATATAAGGCACTCCAGCCTGGGCAACAGAGTAAGACCCTGGCTCAGAAAAAAAAAAAGGAGGGATGGAGGGGTGGGGAGCATGGTCAATATATTGTCTCAGTGAAATATTGTGCAGTCATCAAAATAAAACCGTCCTCAGAGGGTTAACAAAAATTTGGGGGGTAGGGAGCAGGCATGGTGGTTCACACCTGTAATCCCAGCACTTTGGGAGGCAGAGGCAAGAGAATTGCCTGAGCCCAGGGTATCGAGACTAGCCTGGGCAACTTGGCAAGACTTCATCTCTACAACATATCAAAAAATTAGCCATGTGTGGTGATGTGCACCTGTAGTTCCAGCTACTTGGAAGTCTGAGGTGGAAAGATTACCTGAGCCCAGCATATCGAGGCTGCGGTGATCGCAAGTGTGCACTCCAGCCTGGGTGACCTAGCGAGACTCTGACTCAAAAAAAACACAAAAACCTTAAGAGTCCCTACACTGGGACAAGACAAAGCAAAACAGAAAACAAATAAGCATAGAAACAGACAAGACCATTTCAACTGAGGGTATGAATAAAATGGAAAGAAACTGATGACTGAAGCAAGACAGACTGCTTTGGTTAGTTTAGTCCTCTTTGAGGAGATGATATTTAAACAGAGACATACATGATAACAAGCCAAGTATGCAGTGAACTGGAAGAGGAATATTCTGTGCAGGAGGAACAGAAAGAGCAAAGAACCCTGAGTAGGGAAATATTTTTGTGTATTCCTAGGTCAGAATGCTAATTTGGGTGTTAAGAGCAAGGTGAACAGAAAGAGAGCTGAGACAGACAGCTTGGAGAGAAAGACAGCGGCCGCCTCAGCAGGACTTTCTAAACATAGAGGATGTTTGCATTCTCTTCTGCTAGGAAGTTTTAAATAGTCTTGGCCTGACCTTATGCTAATTTAAAAGATCACTGCTGTGTAATCAGTGACTGTGAGGTGGGTGATGGAGCGGCAAAAGTGGAAGTGTGAAGTGGTCCAGGAGAGCATTGGACCCGGATAGCGGCAGTGTCAAGGCACCAAAGAGATCAGGCAGCAATAGAGAGAAAGCCCAGATATCAAGAGAGATTTTCACAGAAGAAATCATTAAATTTTGCCCAGGGAGTCCAAGTATTGATTGCATCCATTCCTTCTGCTTGCTAATCAAAAAATGTAGCAAATATTGAATTTCAAAAGGCTCCCTATTTGTTTACTTTAAGATAAGCATTTGGCGCAATAGAATGTAACACTGTTTTCAAAGACTTTTAACAAAATCAGAATTGATTCAATTTATAGCCCCTTTAGAATTAGTGTCAAAACTGCATTAGAGAAACTATGTTAGACAAACCATGTCACAGTTGACAGCTTGCTCTTTCTCCTAAGGAATGCATTTTATTTGTGCTAAGGAGCTATAAAGTCAAATGCAAGAATTAGA